CCCTCACAGCTCCATAGGCAAGCACCATGGTCTTGTAACAGATGCGAGCTTCAACTGGAAGCCAGTGGAGTGTGCGGAGGAGCGGGGTGACGTGAGAGAACTTGGGAAGGTTGAACACCAGACGGGCTGCGTCATTCTGGATGAGTTGTAGGGGTTTAATGGCACAGGCAGGGAGCCCAGCCAACAGCGAGTTGCAGTAATCCAGACGGGAGATGACAAGTGCCTGGATTAGGACCTGTGCCGCTTCCTGTGTAAGGCAGGGTCGTACTCTCCGAATGTTGTAGAGCATGAACCTGCAGGATCGGGTCACCGCCTTCATGTTAGCGGAGAATGACAGGGTGTTGTCCAGGGTCACGCCAAGGCTCTTCGCACTCTGGGAGGAGGACACAACGGATTTGTCAACCGTGATGGCGAGATCATGGAACGGGCAGTCCTTCCCCGGGAGGAAGAGCAGCTCCGTCTTGTCAAGGTTCAGCTTGAGGTGGTGATCCGTCAGTACATGTCCAGGCCCGTCTGAAGTTTGCTAGAGTGCATTTGGATGATCCAGAAGAGGATTGGGAGAATGTCATATGGTCAGATGAAACCAAAATATAACTTTTTGGTAAAAACTCAACTCGTCGTGTTTGGAGGACAAAGAATGCTGAGTTGCATCCAAAGAACACCATACCTACTGTGAAGCATGGGGGTGGAAACATCATGCTTTGGGGCTGTTTTTTCTGCAAAGGGACCAGGACGACTGATCCGTGTAAAGGAAAGAATGAATGGGGCCATGTATCGTGAGATTTTGAGTGAAAACCTCCTGCCATCAGCAAGGGCATTGAAGATGAAATGTGGCAGGGTCTTTCAGCATGACAATGTTCCCAAACACACCGCCCGGACAACGAAGGAGTGGCTTCGTAAGAAGCATTTCAAGGTCCTGGAGTGGCCTAGCCAGTCTCCAGATCTCAACCCCATAGAAAATCTTTGGAGGGAGTTGAAAGTCCGTTTTGCTCAGCGACAGCCCCAAAACATCACTGCTCTAGAGGAGATCTGCATGGAGGAATGGGCCAAAATACCAGCAACAGTGTGTGAAAACCTTGTGAAGACTTACAGAAAACGTTTGACCTGTGTCATTGCCAACAAAGGGTATATAACAAAGTATTGAGAAACTTTTGTTATTGACCAAATACTTATTTTCCACCATAATTTGCAAATAAATTCATTAAAAATCCTACAATGTGATTTTCTAGATTTTTTTTTCTCATTTTGTCTGTCATAGTTGATGTGTACCTATGATGAAAATTACAGGCCTCTCTCATCTTTTTAAGTGGGAGAACTTGCACAATTGGTGGCTGACTAAATACTTTTTTCCCCCACTGTAGATAAATATCTCTATATATATATCTTATATCTTCACCATGAGACTGACCACTCATGTCATCTGTTATGCTAACAGTCCAGATATCTACTGTAATAGTATTAGAATACCTGCAGGTATTTTACTTCTCCTGGAGCACAGAAAACCCCCAGATACGTAGCGTAGAAAGCTGCTCTGTACATGCATGACCAACTGTAGCCTACAGCAGAAATGGCACCCTATTTCCTACAGAGTGCACTTCTTTTGACCAGGGCTCATGAGTCTCTGGTCAAAAGAAGTGCACTATGTAGGAATAAGGGTGCCATTTGGGAAACAGCCTAGCTACAGTACATCTTAATGAGCTCTTCTTGATGCTGGTCATCATTTTAAAAGTTCAGCCCAAAGTGTCCAACATTTAGGTTTACTTTTGACAACCCAAAAAAATTTTTTTAAAAAATTTTTTTTAAAAAGCGTTCCATTCTTAAAAATCCCCCCCATCCCTAAAAAATTTTCCCCCATCCCTTTTTCCCACTAGGTTTTGGGGGGGAAAAAAAAATTTTTTTCCCCCCCCCTCTTTTTTCCCCCCCCTTTTCTTTTTTTCCCCCTTTTTCCTCTCTTTCCCCCCCCCCCCCCCTCTCTTTTTCTTCTTTTTTTTCTTTTTTCCCCCCCCCCTTTTTTTTTTTTTTTTCCCTTTTCCCCCTTTTTTCCCCCTTTTTCTTTTCTGTCTGTCGGGCTTTTTCCCCCTTCCCCCTTTTTTGGGTTTTTTTTTTCCCCTTTTTCCCCCCCCCCCCTTTTTTCCCCCCCTTTGGGCCCCCCAACCCCCTTTTTTTTTTTTTTTCCGGAAAATTTTAAAAAAATTTTTTTTTTTTTTCCCCCCCCCCCCCGGCCCGGGGAAAAATTTTTTCCCCCCCCCCCCCTTTTTTCCCCCCCCTTTTTTCCCATTTTTCCCAAAAAATTTAAAAATTTTTTTTTTCTTTAAGGAAAAAAAAAACCCCCCCGGGTTTTTAAAAAAAAATTTTTAAAAAAAAAAAAAGGGGGGGAAAATTTTCCCCCCTTTTTCCCCCTTTTAAAAAAAAAAAACCCAAAATTTTAAATTTTTTTTTTTGGGGGTTAAAGGCCCCGCCTTTCCCTTTTGGGCCCCCCCGGGGCCCCCCTTTTCCCCCCCCCTTTCCCCCGGGGGACCCCCCCCCTTAAGCCCCCAAAAAAAAAAAAAAATTTTTTTTTTAAAAAAAGGGGGGGAAAACCCCCTTTTTTTCCCCCCCCCCGGGGCCCAAAAAATCCCTTTTTTTTAAAGGGTTTTCCCCCCCCCCCCCCCCCCCCCCCCCCCCCCTTTTTTTTTTTTTTTCCCCCCCCCTTTTTTTCCCCCCCCCCCCTTTCCCCCCCTTTTTGGGGGTTTTTTGTCTTCTCCTCTTCTGTCGTTTTTTTTTTGCCCTCTGTCTGTCTGTCTGTCTGTCTGTCTGTCTGTCTGTCTCTGTGTTCTCACTAGACTAGACGAAACACACTGTGTACCATGCAGTCAAAGGGTTACTTATGGTGATTCATAAGACGTGACATCCACTGTTGAAGGATGGTTTCTCCCAGTCTGTGTCTGAATATATCAAACGAGAGCTTTGTAGATTATTGAGGTATTAGTAAAGGAATGACCAGCAAGAGCAAAGAATGAAGTGACTCTAGAACTTACAGAGCCTTGCAAAGGTATTCATCCCCCTTGGTGTTTTTCCTACTTTGTTGCATTACAATCTGTAATTTAAATTGATTTTTATTTGGATTTCATGTAATGGAAAACACAAAATAGTCCAAAGTGAAATGAAAAAAATAACTTTATACAAAATAAATAACGGAAAAGTGGTGCGTGCATATGTATTCACCCCCTTTGCTATGAAGCCCCTAAATAAGATCTGGTGCAACCAATTACCTTCAGAAGTCTCATAATTAGTTAAATAAAGTCCACCTGTGTGCAATCTAAGTGTCACAAGATCTGTCACATGATCTCAGTATATATACACCTGTTCTGAAAGGCCCCAGAGTCTGCAACACCACTAAGCAAGGGGCACCACCAAGCAAGCGGCACAATGAAGACCAAGGAGCTCTCCAAACAGGTCAGGGACAAAGTTGTGGAGAAGTAGAGATCAGGGTTGGGTTATATAAAAATATCCGAAACTTTGAACATCCCACGGAGCACCATTAAATCCATGATTAAAAAATTGAAAGAATATGGCACCACAACAAACCTGCCAAGAGAGGGCCGCCCACCAAAACTCACGGACCAGGCAAGGAGGGCATTAATCAGAGAGGTAACAAAGAGACCAAAGAGCCTCTTCCTGTGTCAGACCAGCAGCTTGGCCTGTGGCCAGCCTCTTCCTGTGTCGGAGCAGTAACTTGGCCTGTGGCCAGCCTCTTCCTGTGTCGGAGCAGTAACTTGGCCTGTGGCCAGCCTCTTCCTGTGTCGGAGCAGTAACTTGGCCTGTGGCCAGCCTCTTCCTGTGTCGGAGCATTAACTTGGCCTGTGGCCAGCCTCTTCCTGTGTCGGAGCAGTAACTTGGCCTGTGGCCAGCCTCTTCCTGTGTCGGAGCAGTAACTTGGCCTGTGGCCAGCCTCTTCCTGTGTCGGAGCAGTGACTTGGCCTGTGGCCATCCTCTTCCTGTGTCGGAGCAGTAACTTGGCCTGTGGCCAGCCTCTTCCTGTGTCGGAGCAGTAACTTGGCCTGTGGCCAGCCTCTTCCTGTGTCGGAGCAGTAACTTGGCCTGTGGCCAGCCTCTTCCTGTGTCGGAGCAGTAACTTGGCCTGTGGCCAGCCTCTTCCTGTGTCGGAGCAGTAACTTGGCCTGTGGCCAGCCTCTTCCTGTGTCGGAGCAGTAACTTGGCCTGTGGCCAGCCTCTTCCTGTGTCGGAGCAGTTGACTTGGCCTGTGGCCATCCTCTTCCTGTGTCGGAGCAGTAACTTGGCCTGTGGCCAGCCTCTTCCTGTGTCGGAGCAGTAACTTGGCCTGTGGCCAGCCTCTTCCTGTGTCGGAGCAGTAACTTGGCCTGTGGCCAGCCTCTTCCTGTGTCAGAGCAGTAACTTGGCCTGTGGCCAGCCTCTTCCTGTGTCGGAGCAGTAACTTGGCCTGTGGCCAGCCTCTTCCTGTGTCGGAGCAGTAACTTGGCCAGCGTGTGTCAGAGCAGCACATCAATAACAGGATAAAGTTTGAACTCTGCTGGTATGTAGATCATTCATAGTCACTCGGGTTGTGCTGTGTTCACTATTGATCTGACTCTGGTAACAACAACAATATCAATACACTGGGAGAAATGGTTGTGTTATAGTCACTAGAGAGCTGCCACCTGCTACGAGTCAAGGTCATTTCAGTCATTAATGATTACAAGATGACACAGAACATTAAACTGGACTGGCTGGTGAACACACTACTTTTCCAACTGAAGTCTATACACCATGCTTTATCCTAGCAAGTTTATATTATTGGAATTGGGAATGTCTCTATATTTCATCCTTGTACTCTACTGATACAGTATGTCAGTTAGACCAGTGAGACAGGTGGCAGGTTACGGCTGTAGGGTTAGGGTTGGTAGCAGATGGACAAGTAGAAGTGTATTGTATTGTATTTTAACCGAATGATTTCAGGCTCTGTGTGTGTGTGACTGTTTCCTCCAGGGGCCACTAAGGACATGGGGAAAATGTTAGGAGGAGAGGAGGTGAAGGATCCAGAGGCCGCGAAGAAGAAGGAGGAGGAAGAGGAGGAGAGACAGGAGGCTCTGAGACAACAGGAGGAGGAGAGGAAGGATAAGCACCGGAAAATGGAGTCAGAAAGGGAAGTAGTACGACAGTCCATCAGGATCAAGGTGAGCACTGCAGCAGTCCACAAACTACTCGGATACTATTTCACATTCATTGCCCCAAACATAAAACTTTGTATTCAGGACAAAAAGCGAATTACTCTTCCACATTTTTTGCAGTATTACTTTAGTGCCTTGTTGCAAACAGGATGCATGTTTTAGAATATTTTTATTCTGTACAAGCTTCCTTCTTTTCACTCTGTCAATTAGGTTAGTATTGGGGAGTAACTACTATGTTGTTGATCCATCCTCAGTGTTCTCCTATCACAGCCATTAAACTCTGTAACTGTTTTAAATTGGCCTCATGGTGAAATCCCTGAGCGGTTTCATTCCTCTCCGGCAACTGAGTTAGGAAGGACGCCTATATCTTTGTAGTGACTTTAAGTGTAATTAATAACTTCACCATGCTCAAAGGGATATTCAATGTCTGCTTTTTTTAATGTTTTACCCATTTACCAACAGGTGCTCTTCTTTGTGAGGCATTGTAAAACCTCCCTGGTCTTTGTGGTTGAATCTGTGTTTAAAATTCACTGCTCAACTGAGGGACCTTACAGATAATTGTATGTGTGGGGTACAGAGGTGAGGTAGTCATTCAAAAATCATGGTAAACACTATTATTGCACACAGAGTCTATGCAACTTAATGTGGCTTGTTAAGCAAATGTTGACTCCTGAACTTATTTAGGCTTGCCATAACAAAAGGGTTGAATACTTATTGACTCAAGACATTTCAGCTTTTAATTTTAAATGAATTAGTTAAAAAAAAAAAAAAAAACGTAATTCCACTTTGACGTTATGGGTGTTGTGTGTAGGCCAGTGACAAAACATCTAAATTTGATCCATTTTAAATTCAGACTGTAACACAACAAAATGTGTAAAAAGTCAAGGGGTGTGAATACTTTCTGAAGGCACTGTAGGTGCAAGAATCAATACTTGTGGAACACTATTTGATCTCAAGAGGGGATTGGGGGTGTTACTCCTTTGAAAGTGACATCCTCATATACAGTTGAAGTCGGAAGTATACATACACCTTAGCCAAATACATTTAAACTCAGTTTTTCACAATTCCTGACATTTAATCCTAGTAAAAATTCCCTGTCTTAGGTCAGTATCTTATGATAAGCTGTAGACCACACTATTTACCAAGAGAGTTTTCATCTATATTTTTCATAGCTGTCTATTTACCACCACAAACCAATGCTGGCATTAAGATTGCACTGAATGAGTTGTACAAGGCCATTAATCAACAGGAAAACGCTCATCCAGATGCAGCGCTCCTAGTGGCCGGGGACTTTAATGCAGGGAAACTTAAATCCGTTCTACCTCATTTCTACCAGCATGTTAAATGTGCAACCAGAGGGAAAAAAACTCTAGACCACCTTTACTCCACACACAGAGACGCATACAAAGCTCTCCCTCGCCCTCCATTTGGCAAATCTGACCATAACTCTATCCTCCTGATTCCTGCTTATAAGCAAAAACTGAAGCAGGAAGCACCAGTGATTCGGTTAATAAAAAAGTGGTCAGATGACGCAGATGCTAAGCTACAGGACTGTTTTGCTAGCACAGACTGGAACATGTTCCGGGATTCTTCAGACAGCATTGAGGAGTACACCACATCAGTCACTGGCTTCATCAATAAGTGCATCGATGATGTCGTCCCCACAGTGACCGTACGTACATACCCCAACCAGAAGCCATGGATTACAGGAAACATCCGCACTGAGCTAAAGGGTAGAGCTGCCGCTTTCAAGGAACGGGACTCTAACCCGGACGCTTATAAGAAATCCCGCTATGACCTCCGACGAACCATCAAACAGGCAAAGAGTCAATACAGGTCTAAGATTGAATCATACTACACTGGCTCTGACGCTCGTCAGATGTGGCAGGGCTTGAAAACTATTACAGACTACAAAGGGAAGCACAGCCGCGAGCTGCCCAGTGACACAAGCCTACCAGACGAGCTAAACCACTTCTATGCTCGCTTCGAGGCAAGCAACACTGAAGCATGCATGAGAGCACCAGCTGTTCCAGATGACTATGTGATCACGCTCTCCGTAGCCGATGTGAGTAAGACTTTTAAGCAGGTCAACATTCACAAGGCCGCAGGGCCAGACGGATTACCAGGACGTGTACTCCGAGCATGTGCTGACCAACTGGCAAGTGTCTTCACTGACATTTTCAACATGTCCCTGACTGAGTCTGTAATACCAACATGTTTCAAGCAGACCACCATAGTCCCCATGCCCAAGAACTCTAAGATAACCTGCCTAAATGACTACCGACCCGTAGCACTGACGTCTGTAGCCATGAAGTGCTTTGAAAGACTGGTCATGGCTCACATCAACAGCATAATCCCAGAAACCCTAGACCCACTCCAATTTGCATACCGCCCCAACAGATCCACAGATGATGCAATCTCTATCGCACTCCACACTGCCCTTTCCCACCTGGACAAGAGGAACACCTACGTGAGAATGCTATTCATTGACTACAGCTCAGCATTCAACACCATAGTGCCCTCTAAGCTAAGGATCCTGGGACTAAACACCTCCCTCTGCAACTGGATCCTGGACTTCCTGACAGGCCGCCCCCAGGTGGTAAGGGTAGGTAACAACACATCTGCCACACTGATCCTCAACACGGGGGCCCCTCAGGGGTGCGTGCTCAGTCCCCTCCTGTACTCTCTGTTCACCCATGACTGCATGGCCAGGCACGACTCCAACACCATCATTAAGTTTGCCGACGACACAACAGTGGTAGGCCTGATCACTGACAACGATGAGACAGCCTATAGGGAGGAGGTCAGAGATCTGGCCGTGTGGTGCCAGGACAACAACCTCTCCCTCAACGTGACCAAGACAAAGGAGATGATTGTGGACTACAGGAAAAAAAAGAGGACTGAGCACGCCCCCATTCTCATCGACGGGGCTGTAGTGGAACAGGTTGAAAGCTTCAAGTTCCTTGGTGTCCACATCACCAACGAACTATCATGGTCCAAACACACCAAGACAGTCGTGAAGAGGGCACGACAAAGCCTATTCCCCCTCAGGAGACTAAAAAGATTTGGCATGGGTCCTCAGATCCTCAAAAAATTCTACAGCTGCACCATCGAGAGCATCCTGACTGGTTGCATCACCGCCTGGTATGGCAACTGCTTGGCCTCTGACCGCAAGGCACTACAGAGGGTAGTGCGTACGGCCCAGTACATCACTGGGGCAAGCTTCCTGCCATCCAGGACCTCTATACCAGGCGGTGTCAGAGGAAGGCCCTCAAAATTGTCAAAGACTCCAGCCACCCTAGTCATAGACTGTTCTCTCTGCTACCGCACGGCAAGCGGTACCGGAGTGCCAAGTCTAGGTCCAAAAGACTTCTCAACAGCTTCTACCCCCAAGCCATAAGACTCCTGAACAGCTAATCATGGCTACCCGGACTATTTGCACTGCCCCCCCACCCCATCCTTTTTACGCTGCTGCTACTCTGTTAAGTATTTATGCATAGTCACTTTAACTCTACCCACATGTACATATTACCTCAACTACCTCAACTAGCCGGTGCCCCCGCACATTGACTCTGCAACGGTACCCCCCTGTATATATAGCCTCCCTACTGTCACTTTATTTTACTTCTGCTCTTTTTTTCTCAACACTTTTTTTGTTGTTGTTTTATTCTTACTTTTTTTGTTTAAAATAAATGCACTGTTGGTTAAGGGCTGTAAGTAAGCATTTCACTGTAATGTCTGCACCTGTTGTATTCGGCGCATGTGACCAATAAAATGTGATTTGATTTGATCACCACTTTATTTTAAGAATATGAAATGTCAGAATAATAGTAGAGAGAATTATTTATTTCAGCTTTTATTTATTTCATCACATTCCCAGTGGGTCAGAAGTTTACGCACACTCAATTAGTATTTGGTAGCATTGCCTTTCAATTGTTTAACTTGGGTCAAACATTTCGTGTAGCCTTCCACAAGCTTCCAAACAATAAGTTGGGTGAATTTTGGCCCATTCCTCCTGACAGAGCTGGTGTAACTGAGTCAGGTTTGTAGGCCTGTGTGTGGAGTGGTTGAAAAACAAGTTTTAATGACTCCAACCTAAGTGTATGTAAACTTCAGACTTCAACTGTATATATTGTTAACTATGCCCTTCGTCCACGCAGTATGGCCTGAAGAAGAAGGAGGAGAAGGAGGCGGAGGAGAAGGCGGCCATGGAGCAGGCCTGCGAGGGGTCTCTGACGCGCGCCAAGAAGGCCATCCCAGCCGGGTGCGGAGACGAGGAGGATGAGGATGAGGAGAGCATTCTGGACACCGTCCTCAAGTTCCTCCCTGGACCTCTGCAGGACATGTTCAAGAAGTAATGAACAGGGGGAGGGGAGATCTGGGACTGGAGGATGGGGGTAGGAGGGGTTGGAGGGGAGGGGAGGGGAGATCTGGGACTGGAGGATGGGGGGTAGGAGGGGAGGGGGAGGGGGGAGGGGAGATCTGGGGGTAGGAGGGGTGGAGGGGAGGGGAGGGGGAGGGGAGATCTGGGACTGGAGGATGGGGGTAGGAGGGGTGGAGGGGAGGGGGAGGGGAGATCTGGGGGTAGGAGGGGAGGGGAGATCTGGGACTGGAGGATGGGGGGTAGGAGGGGAGGGGGAGGGGGAGGGGAGATCTGGGACTGGAGGATGGGGGGTAGGAGGGGTGGAGGGGTTCTTGCCAAACGACTATTCACTGCCTTTACAGAAATATTAGTTGTTTTCTTACTCTGACTAGACACAATGTGGTTATATATCTACTCACAGCTTTTGGTCGGTCTCTCAACCGCAGACTAAGTTAATGTTTTTTTTATTTCTCCACTTATCTAACATTCCAACATTGGTAGATAGATCCACCACACCAGGTAGATGCATTTGGATTGGTCAGTCATTTGTATCAACTGGGGTATGGTGTTTCTGTCCAGCCATGCAGAGAGAGCGGGGTTCAATCCTCCATACTAATGGACACTTCAATGTGCATTCCTGCTCACGTGTTTGAAAAGCACTGCCAACACGTATCTGGAGATGGAGCGCTTTTCTTTTTTCTATTTTTATAGTCAGTAAGCTACTGTAACTGTGTAGGAGGCAATGCTGAAGTGGATATTCTATTCTAGGTATTTTTGAGAACACCAGTTCAGTTCGTTTAGAGTGACTGTGCCTTCGTAGGACTTCCTCCACTAGGGGGAGCTGTTAATGAGGGTCTCATTGAAGTCGTTTGATGATATAATTCAATTTTATATAATATGTTGTTTGTCTTAAAAGGATGCAAACCTGCCACATTATGACGTATGTATTTAATGTTAGTCTGGCTGTACGAATAGATCTGATCCCATGCCTTCTTATGCTATGAAACACTAAGGCAACTGGAATATTTGATTTCCCTTTAAATACCTGACCAATATAAAACATCTCTCATTTTCCAAGGTTAAATATAAGAGATTATCATCCTGACAGACAGACTGCATTTTGTGAGAGAAACCGTCTTTACTTACTGTTGCATTATAAACGAAGGTCACCCCATCAACATTATACACTACGAAAATGCTTTAGTCAACATCATATTTTAACAGTAGGTGGTTAGTGCAGTCTAAAGACAATCAAACACGAGCACTGCGTTACAGTGAAGGAAGCTGATACTGCGTATGTCGTCATTAATTGCTCCTGTAAATCGCTCTGGATAAGAGCGTCTGCTAAATGAGTAAAATGTAAATGTAAATGTAATTTCACTACTCACCTCCCACACCACGTGTCTCTTTTACACAAGGTACATGTTTAACTCATTATTTGGAGGCTATTATGAAATAGTGCAATGTTAAATGTAATTTAAATGTTTTATTTATTTATTAGTTAATAAGTTGACCTAAAAAAAAATATAATCCTTCATAAATTCCATGTTATCCTGAGAGACAATCGCATTGGTATTGTTTGAATCATTAACATCAAGTCCAAAGATACTGAAAAAAACATGATTATTTCTTTTGTCACCACTAACTAAGGAAATTGTCCAGAACTAAGGAAGTCGTCCAGATTTGGTCTTGTTGATTGCAGTAAGAATATGCTGGCAACATATAATTGTTATGAAGACATTGATGTCATTCTGGGTAACACTTTCCTAAGACTTAACCCTGTGAAGTTTTATTGTCAGAAATTCTCATATTTTTCATATAACGGACATGGCTACATGACATTGAAGGTTGATATATTCGAAAAACAAAAATAAACATTTAAATAATCACAGGTTACGAGTAAATTATTGTAAACTTTTTTTTTTTTTTTTTTTTTTTAGGTCTGATAGGGTTTTTCACTAGGTAAAGCCATATTGTTTAGACTGCAATAATAATCACTCAAAAACTATAAAAATGATAATTCAATGTTGGAAAAAAAATCTTGTCACGTTTGTTTTCTGTAAAGAAAAAAAGTACAGTTCCGTTACGCTATCTACCTATTTGTCTAAACCCCTTCTCACCCAACCGTATCCTAATGTGTATAAAAAATACAAGTGTATACGCAAACAAAAGATGAGAAAAAAAAACGATGAAGCCATTGTAATGATGTCTATGTACTACGACATGTACTGTATGTGCATTTGTATGTTTAAACTATACTGTGTGTCTTTCTATCTATCTGTGACGTTATACCATGTTGTTGATTCATATAGTCCCCTGTTTATAAGTGTCTTTGAATCGTATGTGCACAAACGCTAACTAGGCTCGAATAGTTGTGCCATATGTCTAAAGAAAATACTTCACACATTCCGTTCACATCGCTATAGGAACATAGGGGAAAGAACTACACCAAATACTACAACACAAAATATGTCCTGTTTATATAGTAGTCTCCCGGCAACAGAATCTGTTTACTAGATCCAGAAGTTTGGGTTGTTGTAGATTCTCAGCTCTATGATGGCCTGTGTCAATCACATACAGAATAAGAGTTTGTTGATGACAAATAGACTGAATTATTAGGGTTCTGGCAATGCTGTCAGATGTAGTGCTACATGTCTTATTAGAACACGTGTCTGTTATCTATCTCCATGTCTTATTAGAACACGTGTCTGTTATCTATCTCCATCATGTAACTCCATCATGTACTTTCATTCAGTTCCTAAAAAAGGTCCAAAGATAAAGAATACTTTTCGAACGCAGTCCATAAATGAATACCTTTAGCTGTAAAACGTATTCCTATAACACCTGGCTCTATAACATCCTACTCCTATAACATCATACTCCTATAACATCCTACTCCTATAACACCTGGCTCTATAACATCCTACTCCTATAACATCCTACTCCTATAACACCTGGCTCTATAACATCCTACTCCTATAACATCTTACTCCTATAACACCTGGCCCTATAACATCCTACTCCTATAACACCGGGCCCTATAACATCCTACCCCTATAACATCCTACCCCTATAACATCCTACTCCTATAACACCTGGCCCTATAACATCCTACCCCATTAACATCCTACTCCTATAACATCCTACTCATATAACATCCTACTCCTATAACATCCTACTTCTATAACATCCTATTCCTATAACATCCTACCCCTATAACATCCTACTCCTATAACATCCTACTCATATAACACCTGGCCCTATAACATCCTACCCCTACAACATCCTACTCCTATAACATCCTACTCCTATAACATCCTACTTCTATAACACCTGGCCCTATAACATCCTACCCCATTAACATCCTACTCCTATAACATCCTACTCCTATAACACCTGGCCCTATAACATCCTACCCTATAACATCCTACTCCTATAACACCTGGCCCTATAACATCCTACTCCTATTACATCCTACTCCTATAACACCTGGCCCTATAACATCCTATTCCTATAACATCCTACTCCTATAACACCTGGCCCTATAACATCCTACTCCTATAACACCTGGCCCTATAACATCCTATTCCTATAACATCCTACTCCTATAACACCTGGCCCTATAACATCCTACTCCTATAACATCCTACTCCTATAACACCTGGCCCTATAACATCCTATCCCTATAACATCCTACTCCTATAACACCTGGCCCTATAACATCCTATTCCTATAACATCCTACTCCTATAACACCTGGCCCTATAACATCCTACTCCTATAACATCCTACTCCTATAACACCTGGCCCTATAACATCCTACTCCTATAACATCCCCAGATACTATTCATTTTGTTTGCTCTCGTGTGATGATGCGATTAATTTCATGACAAAAACAACATTTACAGATGGTGGCTTCAACCCTACCTTTATTGAGACCTTTATAAACCATCAGAATAATATAATTAATATTCAACAACACTTATGTTAACCCCAAACTGGGGAAACAACACGTATGCATTGAGTTACGAACAGGCTGTTTCTAATCGTGGGGGCCTACAGGTTTCTCCTGTATCCTGAACTGCATAACACACGTCACAGTGATAATGTGCCTCTGCCAAGTAAAGTCCAGACAGGATATGTTGCCATACAGATTTGCTCTCCTTATTTCAGACCATTTGAACAATATGTTTCCATTTTGGTCAAAGAAGCTGTTGAGGTTCTGTCTTCATTGCAATACCTGTAGTTCAGATATGTATATGTTTCCTCCACATCTCCTGCTGGGGACAGACTATATGCAGTAACCATGAAATCAAACATCTGTGTATACTGATAATAGCATGTATTGCAATCAGCATACAGATCTAATGTAAATATTATTCCCATGCCCCTACCTTGTAATGACACGCAATGATAGGAACATGTATGAGTGGTTCCAATTTGGCTTTACAATTATAATGCATATTTCTCTATGCCTTGTTGTAGCATATTAGTGAATATGATGGTTGGGTGATTGTCCCTGGCTGGGATAGGGGGCATACATCTGGGAGACTCACACGTTCCTCCTGTAATTGTTTAGAGTAGGGTTCATCAAACAGGAAACACAGCCATATTTCTTCTGTCTATTATCCTCTCTCTCTCTCTCTCTCTCTCATCTCTCTCTCTCTCACTCTCTCTCCTCACTCTCTCTCGCTCCACTCTCTCTCTCTCCTCTCTCTCTCTCTCTCTCTCTCTCTCCTCTCCCCTTTCTCTCTCTCTCCCCTTTCTCTCTCTCTCTCTCTCCCCTTTCTCTCTCTCTCCCCTTTCTCTCTCTCTCTCTCCCTTTCTCTCTCTGACATTCTCAAGGCAACACAACATGATGTGAACTGCCTTTTTGCAAAGGGCTATTATCATTTAATTTTCACATAGATTAGTACATCTGTCACAAACAATGCTTGTTCTGGTAATGTTTACTAGGTATTTCATTATTTTGGTTGCATGAAATGGTGTGGAAATA